GTGATTAAATTGGAAATTGTTGTAAACTTTATGATAAAACATTTGAATGTATATTACAACTGTTAGTTTCATTTATAAACAGAATACAATACTTATAAATACCTTTTATCAAATTTCCTATAATAAATTTTTTGAAACAGATGCTATGCAATAATGCAACAATATCAAAAGGATAGATAATGTTATAAACGATCCTTGTGAAAGCGTTCGAAATGCTAAAAATGTTTAAAAAGTTGATATTTTTTTCAGTTTTAACATACTACTGAATTACTAGTTAATCCCACCAATTTCAATCGCTGACCATTAATTTCAACGAATTAATATATTGTTTTTGTATGACATTTTAACTTTCTCTAAAAGTTTATTAAATTTCCACGAAAAGACTGATATTAGTCGAGAGATTTTTGTGATAATATACCTTTATGATATTAAATCACATTAAACCCTTTTTTGTTTCTTTCTGGTAGTCATAGTTGGAAGTCAAAATGCAAATTGCCTGGCGGCATTTTATTGTAATATAAAGTATAAAGTTAGATATTTCACTTTTGAACATTTACAAATTTAATAAATTATTATACACAAATAATGTAGTCAAAATTGCTTAACCAAATTGGCGTATATGTAATTTATACTGGAAATTTCCATTCAGCTTTGCAGTTGATTATTGTAGTTGGTGATGGCTCCTAAGAGCTCACTTGACTCGACCATAACACTATGTAGTAAGACCAATGATTTAATCAAATAAATTATTATTTGTTGTCGGTAAGACCAATAATTATTACATCATTTTCATATGAATATCATATGACACGAACAATATAATAATACAATTTAGATTATGACGCCAATAACAAATAAAATAAGATTGTTTACCATTTAAGTTGGTCACCACAAATAAAGCCAACTAACATAGCATTATATGTTTGTTCATTTTATGTAACAGATGATCCGGTGGACCCAATATTCCGGTTTGACCTGAACCGGATCATACCAACCACAAACCAAACTGTCACTTGAGTACTGAGGCAAATTAAAAATCAGTTGCGAAAACTTCAAAAGATCAAGTTTATAAATTTAAAAAAAAAAAAAGGAGAAGCAAAAGAAAATTACATGGAGATGGATGCTTTTATTTAATGTTTTCATTCTCACCCCCAAACTATTAAATACAACAAATCAAACCCAACCACAAAGATATAGATGTGGAAGAAGCGAGAAGAAAATGGAGAAAACCGAAAACCAAATGTTTCACCAGAAAAATTTTTGCCAAAAGAAGAAAAAAAACTAAAACAATTTTTTAGGAATTATGAAGAGAAGCAACTCTATCAGTAAGCTCTGCAAGTGTCTCATCATCTTCTTCCTCAGCAATAGTGTCCTGTGAAACGCATAGAAGAGAACAGAAACAGTAAGTAATAATAACTCCATCTTCATGTTCCTTTCAAGATTCTCTTGTCTTTTGTTTCTTTCTTTACTAAATAACTAACCTCTTTGTCGGTTTTAGATTGGACACCGATGCATTTAGAACCGCTGATGCTTGCGCTCTTCATGAGGTTACGAGCACTGTAACCTCCTCCATTGTCTGCTTCCTCAGATTCCAGGGTTGAAGCAACAGCAGCTGCTGCTCTTCTCTCAACATCACTGCTTTCTTCTGCAGTTTCACCATTCGGAGCAGGAACTCTCTCTCTGCAACACATAATCGCAGAGAAGCACAATGCTTTC